TCGCATTAGAACTATTCGTGTTTAGATCGCGAAGGTTGCGAGCAGAATGCAATCCGCAGATGTCGAGCAGCTGCCGCGGCAAATTGCCTTCGTGTCTTGCATTTAATCTACCGATGGTAGCTTCTCTAGGCACCGAATGGGACGCCACAGCTGGCAGGACCTTCAAGGTTCGACAATACCGCTTTGCTGACCGAAATATACCCATGGGCGAGACTGGAAACGGAGAAACCGAGTTTCCGGTTTCACTGCGCCTAGTTAGGTTTTATTGTACGTAGAATAGTTTCGTATGGCTATGGAAAAAAGCTTTCAGTTTCCTGGAGAGGGAGTGTTCTCGAATTGAGTTGTTGAAATGAAGGCTATACGATCACTTTCGATGAATAATGGCAATTTTCTTACACCTTTTTATTAGATTGTTGCATATCAAATGGAAAATTTCGAAACATGGAAAGTGTGACATGATTTCATCACATAAAAGTACTACAAAGTAACGTTTATAACGTATTAATATAAAACTTACAGTTTATTATGGAAATGACTATGTAAACGTTTTATTAATGTTTTTTAATATAAAGTGATTGATTGCTAGTTACAGCAATGACTACTGCAAAATAGTACATAAGTACTTAGTCTGGCAAATTAATATGAAGCTTAATTAATATACTAATGTTAATTAATATAATAAAATAATTAATTCTCTGGCTTACGTTTTTATATTAAAGTAAAATCTTTTAGAATAGGAAAGCAATAGAATTTTGTTATTGAATTTTACAACATGCTTGAAAAAAAAATACACTTTCGAAACGGACCACTCCTACACATTGCAATGCGATTACTGAACTCGAATGGAAAACTTTTAATGACGCGTGAAGAACAAGTTAACACGCGTGGAAACTTTGACTTCGAGCAAAAAAATATTCGGAAGGAATGTGAAACATTGTAGAAAATATTTTGTAACCAACGAAACCTGTTTACATTCTAAATACTCCAAATACAGGCTGAAAAATATTTAACGAACAACAAAAATATCAATATTGATAGTCGTTCAATTTTCCCCATAGATGTATTTTTTTCTTAGTAAAAATGAAAGAGAAGATTGTTCGTGGCAGCTCATCCGAAAGTTTCAAGTTCATTTTCAGGCGCGAGTAATCACAGCATAAGGGGGAACACGGTTCACCCTCAAACTGGCAAAGAAATGGGGCGCCATGTATGTCAATGAAAGCGTCTCGCCGAAAATAAAAGCGACTGCTCACGATTTAGGACGGTAACGATAAAAATAAGTGCACTCAGAGGGACTCTAAATTCCCACCAGCGATAACAGATTAAGTACCAAATGTAGGAAATGTGGTTGAATTCGCTCGTAAGAGAACCTAATAATTCTGTCGACGATTTAATTCTTGATACATTCATTACCTAATAAATGCTCATACTTAATAGAACATTAATTTAAGGAAATATTAATTACATTTTAAAGATGTCATTTACTGTCAACTTTAACCCTTTAGACCTGATATGCGAATTTTCGTTATGCTACATAAACATTGACTTGTAAAATTATTTAAAAGCTTATTATACGAAATTTATTGTTAAATATATTCTGAATAGAGTTTGAAAATCCTAGGTAATTATTTTTTATTTCTCGGATGGCGAACCATGGAGAGAGCCCCAATTATATTTTAATTCTGTATTTTATATTATTTCTATGTTCAAGGATTAGAATTAAATTGTTTAAATTTCTATGAGAGAAAACTTTTCAACATGAAATTACAAAGAAATACATAGTAATTAAAAATATTTAACTGCTATAAATAGCAATTCATACAGTAATCCTACTTTCTCATTTGAAAGAACCAGAAAGCGAAAGTCTTTACCGAATCATATCCGCTTTAATACACGTTACTCTCATCTAAATACCAAAAATCCCGGGAAGATTATACAGTCAAATACTATTCAAGATACTCATCTAAAGATATTCGGGCTACAAGATTATTTCACGTTTACCACATCTACTTTACACGCCTAATAACGTGGGACCTCTAATAAACCGACTCAAAGGCGTCTAATGATCACATTCTCGTCAGATTTATATAACTATAATCACGATAAAAAAAGGAAGAATATTTCGAGTCTTAATCGTCGCGTAAAATCTTTCGAACAGACTTTCGGATCAAGATAGTCTTCTCGGTAAGAAACTTGCTCGACTGAAAGTTCTTCGAGTACCGTTACGAGACTATCACCAGAGAAATAGTAACGGTGATACATTCTGGGAGCACCAAACTTGGCCGACGTCAAAGTACCAAGTAATTTTAGGAAAGCTCTTTAAGCGATGTTTCATGGAAACGTGCTTCCAAGTTACAGAACCTTTTGGGTCGGTGAAATCTTGGTCGTGCGAAGAAAGATGCGAAGAAGAAACTGAAAGGAGAAAAGGTTACGGAGGGTCATGGTCAAACGATCGTCTGAAACAGCCTCGGTCACGTAAAGCTGCGAGGCACGACGAGATTTTCGTCATGGATGGATTTATAGAATCTTCTGATTATAGCCTGCATCGAGCATACTATAATGAATCTTATCGTTTCTCAAAATTACAGAATAATATAATTATTTGAAAATTTATGTGATCCTCCATCTTATCAAATTTTTAAAAATTGCAAAAATATTCATTTACATTTAGTAATTTGATAAAATAGTACTTAACACTTTTTCTACCGGAAGGTAGGTTAATTAATTAGGCCATAATGAAATAATCTATTAATTAAAATTAATAGGCTCTTTGACAGTACCTGCTGTTGAAGAAAAACCAATTAATAACCTTTTGATCATTACAGATTCACATATAACTTACAATGAAATAATGAAAGTTAAATGTACTACATATAATTAAAAGGAAATTAAAAAGATTAGACCTTGTAATCTTTAGTTACTATTAATTATAAGGTGCTAGCGTGTACCTATTTCATGTATGACCGGTGGATAACGTGTTAAAAGAAAAAGAATAATTACTCCAGAAAAGCATGTATCTAAATAAAAAGTGAACAAGTATTTTATGAAAGCAAACGTGTTAAAACCACCATTCGTACTCCAATTACCACTATCAAAAAAAAAAGGCAAAACTTGATGGACTTAAAAAAAAAAATCTTGCCATTCGTCTAACACCTTGTTCCAATCGAGCCGGCAGTGAAAAGGTCAAAGCTGTCGAAACGTCTATTTGCAATGGAAAAAATATCGACAGCGGTTCGAGGCATGACAGGTTCTCCGTTTCGTAATCGCGGTTTAATCAGGAGCACACGGCCAGGATATTCGACGGGAATCGTTCGGTCGAAAATCACACGGTGCCTTACGGTACGGAACAATGAGAAACGATCGGCACGGCGGTGGCGGCTCGTGGCCGCATTCGTCGAGTGTTCCGCGTGCTACTCGTTCCGCTCGATTAATCCGGCTCCGGGTGTCGTGCTGGCATTTCCGTGTGAAAAAGCACCCTTTTGTAAAGGCACGAGAGCGAACCGGAGCGGAGTGCTCGCAGGGAGATGCACGATGGGTCTTGACGCGCGGACTCTGTAATCCTCGCATTGTCTCTTCATCGCATCTTCCTCTCGTTCGAGCTCGCCTGGTCTACACGCACCCACACCCTTTGGGAAATCTGTCCCTTTGTTAGCACCCTCGCAAGATTCGGCTCGATTCTCGATCCTCTTCGCGACAATGTATCGTTCGGATCGAAAAATCGACCCCGTTCCAGGGCTCTTTGAACGAAAGAACTCGCGAGAAGCTTCAAAAGGAAAGGGGAAAAAGTCGCAATTTATCGTCGCGATACGTGAAAACGTATCTTAAGAGTTTGGAAAATTATTAACCCTCTATTAACTCTTGTAACTTTGAGGTAACGTATCAAATTTTCGTGACATTTTCAAAACATTCTTCCTCATCTTTTTCACTGTGCACCATTGCGACTTATAAGTAAGATAACGTATACAGTTATTGATTCTTTTCTTAAAAAGATGGAAACTATAGCGTAATAAACTATAACTTTATTTGGAACAAAAAGTATATAAAAAGGCTATAAAAGATAATTATATTTTATTATTCAACCTTTGAACAGCGGAACTTGGGTCAATCGTGGCTCAAACAGGATATTAACCTAAAGATAAATGTAAATTTTTTAAATAAAAGAGTTTCATGTATTGGAACAACAATTTTTAAAGGGACAGTGTAAAATTTAGAAAATTAAATTAATGTGAAGTACGGAATGAAGTTAGAATAGTAGCTCTCCATGGTCCGCCGTCCAAAGATTACGAAACGCATTATATTATCTTTCATACTTTTTTAGAAAAAAGGTCAATTATTGTACAGGGGTTAACAACTGTACACGTTTCTCCACCGTAATAATGAAATTAAAGAATAATGGAGCAAATACTGTGCTTCAGAGTTTCATCATTAGTTAACAGTGCAAGTACCGCCAAACAGATTTTACTAGATACTTATTTCAGCAAAGACAGAGGGTTAAAATACTGCAGTTTTGTAAAAATAAAAAGCGACGCCTCTACTTGCGCTACTGGGTGCAAGAAAGTACATGCTAAGACCTTCCAAAGTAAACGCGTCCATCATTCAACGAAAGGGATCCCGCACTTCCTCGAGAGGAGTCGCACAAAAGAGCAGAGGGCTACGGGGAAGATAAGTGCTACCAGTACATCAGGGAACCCATTAGAGACACATGTGGTGTCGTTGAACAACCAGTTCGGCTCCTTTGCCTCGTTCTTCAAGGTACGAATACAAGGTGGCAGGAGGCTGAACCAGACGAGGAACGACCCTCAGAAATATTTTCTTCCAATGTACAAAAAAACATTGAAGTATCCATTGAAACTGTCTTTCATTTCCATCTTCATCCTCTAAGATCATTTATCCCGAGTTCATCAAACTCATCTCCGATTTCTGGCTGCGCACGATGCTGATGACTTAGCGCAACATCTTACGTCCGTTTAAGTCTTAGAGAATCGCAGTTGGAAATGGCTTTCATAATCTGGCCGCGACATTCTGTTGCGGCTTATGTCTCGCTTTACGTTCCCCTTACGCTCTGGACGACAATAAGAAAGCTGATACCCCGACGCGAGGTTATCTGCTCGACGTTTCGCGATTGTCCTGCCAAAGGCTGGGGAACACACGGCGCGCTCGTCGTTAGATGTTGGATCTAATGCTCTCTCGCCGGGGAAAGTCGAGAATTTACTGGAGCGGACTTGTTTACGAGTGTTCCGCCTTATCGAGGAACCCACTTAGGAAGTGATCCCGCGTTAGTCCTGCAATCTACCGAGTTTACCGCGCACATACGCACGCGCATGCGCATGCGCATGCGCACACGTGTTTCTGATATTCGCCTCGAACAGACAGGAATTCCTCCTCCGTCCGTGGAATTCCGTGATGGGCCCACGGTAATTGAATCCTTAAGAAGTCGAACCGCGGGAGAAGCCATCAGACAGACGGACTTAGTATGTACTCCAGGATACCGGCGAGGTGGCGACGAGCATAATCACCGGTGTGTTCCACGCGCAAACTTTGCGTGGATCATTCCTGTGATGAGGGTTCGACTCTATAAATGGGTAGGTCGGATCGAGAGGCTGTTTCAGGGTGACGTAATATTCGGAGGTTGCAGCTGGGAACGATGGACTGATATTCTTGGTAGCAGAAGGGTGAGGTCTACTCTTCTTTGATGTTCCTCTTATATTAGCTATTACTATTTGTTATGTCAGTTCTATTACCATATTTCTTCAGATGCTAGTATGATCTAATTTATACCTGAGTAAGTCACTTCCATTTTCAATTAAGTGTACAGTCATACACCATACTGATAATAATTTTATACAGGATGTCTCAGTATTGATGGTACAACCGTAGAAAGGATGATTCTATTTTCATTCGAGGCTTCCAATTTTTCAATTTTTCAATTTTTCAATTTCAACCTTTTTTCATTTGAGGCTTTGTTTTTGAAAAAATTGGCTTTGATGTTTCTCCGAGTACGCATACACTTGTGAGAAGCATAGTTATGTATGCAGTACAGAGACTAACATTTTTAACAATTTCTGCATTAATAAAGTAAATTTGAAGATACATATGATACATATGATTTGTATCGAAATTTATTCAATCACGACATAGTCAAGTGTAAATACAAAATTAATTTTTTCAAAAATAAAGCTTCGAATGAGAAAATTTTATTCCATATTTTCGACTTATTTTCTCATATAGAATCTTCTCCTCTATGATTGTACCATCAATACTAGAAACCCTGTATTTATGTACAACAATAATTCTTAACTCACTAATGGAAAAGTTAAGTGCCAAATTCAGTGCGATGGCCGTTGCAATATAAATTAAAAGTAATAAAAATAATCTAATCATTTTCAGGTGTTTAGATACGGTGTCTTTCCCCGAATTAGTGACTCATTTGATACAAACAGATACACTGGATGTTACCAATATAATGGTTTAACACTGGGGAGCTATTTCAAGAATTCGATTCGAAGAGAAAGAAACTACCAAGAAATGCTACCAATTAACACGATACTGGGAACGGTGGAATTTCCAATAAAGACAACATCAGATTGGTGCCGCGTATTCTAATCGGACCAATCTTTCTTTCTTTTCCTCCCCGTGTAACCACGAAGAGGAGCAGGAATAAACAGCATCAAGGGGACCGTAACGAGCCGTTTAATTGGTCAAAGGATTCCCGAAGTGACTTTGTTGAAATGTAGTCCAAACTCGAGGTTTTGTCTAGAGGACAAGAGATCTGGAAGGCCATCGACTTGGTGATAAATGACATTCCAGAGGGGACCTAATCAGGTCCAGGTAAAGGTCCTGCTAACCAGACAACAAGGGAATTCCTCCGGTTGACACCGGCTACTTTCAACCAAATTTACGACCATCATTGTAGGATTATTTCGATTTATCTAGAGAGAAATCTAAATAATCTACCTTTAAATCCTCTTAAACTGACATTATATTGGAACTTTAGTAGACGATTTTGTAATAGTTGCTACTTTGTATCTGTACCTGTCATTTGATAAATAAAGAATATCTTCTTATTTTCAAATCTGTTTTATTTTATAATAACCAATTCTAGATTGTTATAAAAATAATATAGAACCATTGCTTGAATTTAGCAACCTATTTCTGAAGAAGGATAAGTGTCCTCAACTCCTTTAATGATAAACTCAACAAACACGCTTTCAAAGTTTTCCTAAGCAATCACGATCGTTCCGAATAAGCATCGCGCGATTGCAGTCGGTTCCAGTATAACCAAAGGGTCGAAAGTGCACGTTATCCTCGGGGTAGCCGATGATTCCATCGCTTTCGCTTGGGATTCTTTCATTCGCGAGAGAATAGCAAAGTTGGAACACGTTCTCAGCACAGGGACCCCTCCAGTCTGGCGCCAAGCAATAATAACCGTTCGCCCACGCTGAGCTCTTTCTCTCTCGAGGTTTTTGCACTCGACCAACCGAGTCGCAGAACTCTCGAACCGTATTCGCAAGAAGAAAAATAAAGATTCATCAGCCTAGAGAATCGATATCGTTTTACTTTTGACCCATCTGTTTGACCCATTAAGTCCTCTTCCATTCATGGGATTCTCTATTTCAAATACGAAACTCTGCAGAGACTCTATGTAAATTAAATAATATTTTTTTCAAAGTGCACTAATATTTTTTTTAAATTTCATTTTTAAGACTGCATCAACCTAATGAGTTATTAGCAATCACAATATCATTTAATAAATGAAATATACTAGTATAATTAGGAAACACTAAAATGGTGTTAACTAAATTAATATTGTTCATAATTTTATATAAATCTGAGGTAACTAACATTTTTTTAATTCACCATAATGAGTCACCAGGCTTTCCATTCCTGGAGGGTGAAAATCACCCTTGCATCAGCTTCGAATCTTAATTAAAAAATAATTGCACGAAAAGCAAAACCGTATCGAAGAGGAAATAAAATTGAAAGCAACCAGAAGAGGAAACGAAAATGACAAAATAAGCCGGTGTTTTATTATTACGAGCCTTCGTAAAGCCCGTGCCAATTGACTGAGAATGGGAATCCAGATAAAAGAACGATTTCCAGTTTCAGCTGCTCATCGAAAGGAGGCAATAATTCGTCCGTGGCGATCGATCGGATCGGTGATGATAAAAGATAACCTCCGCCCCTGGATACGAGGGTGAACGAGCGTGAACTCACTCCACCCCCGACTCTGTACAATATAATGATCGTCCGAAAGTGCACACCGGCATCAGCACGCCCAAGGAAAGGAACGCATAAATTCAAGCGTATTCGTACGCCTTCGAAGGGTTCGTAATCTCGTTTCGACATCGAGACTCGTCGTCTTTCACTGTGTTGCGTGGCAGATGCGAGCTTTTCCAGATGCTGTTTTACGTGTGCCCATCCCCCTCCACTACGCCCTTCTTCGTCGTTCTATCAGGGGCAGGACGAAAATAATGGGATTAATTCGTTAACCAAACGCGATGACGACACTCTTCTTCAGCCACGTGTGGACTAGAATCTTTTTTCTTTCCTAAAGATTTAATCCGACGATTTCATATTCAGCTGGTCGGATAAAAACGACGAATCGTGGAGTTGTTATATTTCACACGTGAACATGAAATCTGACATATTAAGTGTGCTAACAGGAAATGTGAGATCTTCGTGACGCAAGATTTTTTGTTTTGAATTTTATTTCCCATAGGAATTGAATTCTATCTGGAAGATTTTCACTTTTCCAATGAAAATTCATTGAATTGCTCAAAAATATAATCAAGTACTTTTACATAAAGTCAATAGATGTGTTAATTATTAATATTGCCAAAAATATTGAGTTTGTGGTAGATACTTGAATGAATACAAGTAGTCAAGTGAGTAAAAAGAGATAAGTATGCTATGACGAGTATAATTTATTATTCAATGAAAATGTACCTGCATACGTGAGTCCTTCTCTTCTGAGTCATTTAATTTAAGCAGTTGGATGAGGTCATATGTTCCAGTTAGAAAATTAGGGAAAGGAGGGAATACCCTATGACTAATCAAACGCTCCCTTAGAGTAATTAGAAATTGAAAGACTTCTTTTATGTATAGTACCGAAAATGGTAGGCCACCCCGGGGAAAATGGCGAAATTTTGGACTCCCGGATTTCCAGCCCTCCCCCTAGGTGACTGCAAGGAAAATAACGATCTAAGGAGAGGATCCCATATATAGATCTGTTAGATACATACTACCATAGAAAATTTGAATTGCTATTTATTACCTCTATACTAAATTTTATAATATTTCTGAGAATTTCTGCTTAACCCTTATTGCACTGTGGAGACTGTTCAAGGTACAAATGAAAAAATTGGAATTCCATATAAAAATATAAGATAAGTGGCTTAATTTTGGAGAATATCTTATCTTAAAAAAGTGTGCCAAGCAAATATTAAAAATGAATCATCTCTTAAACAAACCTACTATACATGATAGTAATTTCTTCAAATTTTTTTCACATAGAATTTCAATTCTACCAATCGTACCACCATAGACACCCCGTATATTTCATCCAACCGAAAATCGAGAGCCGTGCATCACGAAAGCCGCCGATAAATCCCGATTTCTCATAAGGAACGGTCCGAGCAACCCTCCGCATGATTCAGAGCTCCGAATAAAGGAAAGGACCAGACTTTCGCTTTCGTACGTGACGGATCAGTAGAGTGTCCCTTCCAGATCGTGCTCATCTCGGCAAACAAGAATTAGAGCCGTCGCGTTAACTTCCAAAGCGAGCAGATCGAGCATGACGTACCCCGCACGAACCACCCCCCCGAGTGACTCGACTCGGGTTCTCGTGTCGCGAACAATAATGGACGGACACCTGAACGGGCTGACTTTATATTTTTTCCTGCACGCCTGTCGACGCGGATTATGATAATGCTCCTTCTCTCCTCGTCCCGTTTGATCCGCGAGGGAAACGACAGCAGCGCGTGGGGTGGATACTCGGCACGAGACAGCCGAAAACAGGGGTGCTGGCCACCGGTGAGTCATGCTTCATCCCCCCAGAAAGGGGAGGTCTGGCGCAACGACTGGTTGCCAACATCCCCCATGTTTTCTGCCTGCAGCGACGACCTATGGATTCTCTCGATTGAAATTAGATTTCCCTTCATCTCCGGCTGCTCGCACAGCAACTCAAGCCCCGTTTCCCTCTGCTCTTTAGCCTCGTTTCGCCTTCGTGGAAATCGTCCTAGGCCGCGAACTTTAGCGATCCGAGATGCGGGCTGTAATTGTGCCAATCGTTCGTCGAGTCGAAGAATAATAGAGTACTCCAGACAAGTAACGTACTATCGGTAAGCTGAAACCGCCTCTTCCTCGGCTAGTATTGTCAAAAGGAAAAGGTAGACGCAAGATGGCAGATAATCGCGACACCGGATGATTTACCGTGACGATGATCGTACCGAAGTGGGCGCGATCCATAAATTACATTAATTTATCGAGTGGAAAATAAAATATGAAGGCTATAAATCGCGTCCTGCAATTTGCGGGCGAATCGAGGTAACCGACTCGTGTATCTACGAAAGTTCCGCTCTCTCTTTCGAACCGTCGAAGAATCGATCGCGTCCTGCCTCTTCGAGTTTGACTAACAAATTTCGGGCAAGTTTTAGGTGGCCCTCGACCAGCTGGCGCTGAATCATCCTATCCTAGCCCTGCGGTCCCGAACCACGGCGTTGCCAAGGTTTCAGAGCGGCTTCCACCGACTTATCGTTTCCTCTTATCGAGTCGGCCAGCAGAGAGAGAAAAAAAGAACCGTCGTGTCTGTGATACTGAACAGAGGCTACGGTTCACGTGACTTCCGTCTTTGCTACTGGTTAGAACACGATAACCGAAGGCCCTCGTACTTGCTTGATCCCTGTTCGATTTATCTGTCGCGACGCACGCACGAGAACACGAAACAGATAACGAATGAGCTACATCTGTAATTAGAGCGATCTCTAACGTGCTACTTTTTTATTTTCGCTTTGGCTTTGGTCACAAGTTGGGGAGAGACACGGGCGACACGCGAACTGGGTTCAATAGTCTCGATGAGTCAACTCGAGTACCTATGTTATCATTCTGTGCCTTCTATTCTATTTTTAGAAATACGAATTTATTCTTATTCGTGTTTACGTAAGCCGTTTTTCAATCAAAGGATTGATGGAATCCTTTCCTGGATTCAGTTCGTAATAACAGTTATTAACCTTTTGACTACTGGAGGCGCCTATAGGCGCTTAAACTAGTTTCAAATCTTATATTGGTTTAGTGCAGTGGAATTCACTGTTTTGATTATTTCAATCTTTCTTTCTCAACAATGTACGCTTAAGGAAAAATTTCGTTGTTCTCACTGTGGAGAATACGACTGAATTCCTATCGTATGGTACGACTGGTACGTCTCAAAGTCCGTCGTAGTCAAAGGGCTTAATTTGAAGAAAGTAATCTTTGAAGCGTGGAGTCTGGGTCAATTATAACTCAAACAAGGATGTTAACCTGAAGTTAAATCTATCATTTTTAAACAAACGAGTTTCATATAGTGAAAGAATAATATTAAACTTTAGAAAACGAAATACGAAATGAAATTAAAATTGCGTCTCTCTTCCTGGTCCGCCAGCCGAGGGTTAAGAACAAAGGATCTCCGTCAATCTACTCTCTTGAAATACAATAATTTTCAGCACCGTTTTAACCTTCCTAATAAACAAGAAAAGGTTACGAAAGTCGGTGTATTTAATTAACCGATTCAGATAATCTTAGATCGGAAACAGGTCTGAAAGCTTGGAGATATCTCGGCTCCAGGAACTTCCCCTCTCGGTTTTGCGCAACTAGCCTCTATTGATCGCAACGTTTCAGCCCATTATGATCAAACTATCGATCGTTTGCGCGCGTTAAACGTTTATATCGCGAGCCAAGCATTAGGCCGTGCGTACAGTGTGGCTGTGCAACGATCGAGCAGGGCTTCGGGAAGGCCGTAATTCAAGCAGCCACTCCAGAGGCAAGAACGGCCGCAACAATGCCCGTAACTGTAGATTCGAGGTAACTTTACACTCGAGTCCATTTTCTCTTTGCCCACTTAAGCCCGCTGCAACGTTCGCGCCCCGTCATATGGGGCAGAAGGGTTGCGACACGTGTTCGAATTTCCCTTAACGTACGCCATACGATTCTGGGCCACCCTGTACATCAATTACCGTCAAGGAACTCGAGATTGCTTTGTTTCGTGCAACGCTACTGCAATGATTCGAAGGCAAAGATCTTAATCTTCCATGGAGGTTCAAGTTAAATTTTCACCCTTTAGGAACGAAGATTTCAGAGGCACTAAATTGCAAGCATACAAATTAAAAATAAATATAATTTTATAAGCAGGATTTAACTTAGAAATGTTTTATCCTGAAAGGGGTGGCTGTTATTTTCCCCAGCAACTATTATTACACTATTTTAAAATTTTCAACTTTTTTAGACTATATAATACTTGAAAAGTAACGACGTACCGTTAATGAGCATTTCTGGTGTTGAACAGAGGTATACTTTCGTCAGGAAGCAATCCTTCTCGCTACAATAACGGATCTTCGAGATAGATCCATCAAGCGTTTAAAAGCAAGAAAATGCCTCGGCTCGGCACGACTTTGCCGTTGAAATCATAACAATTACGGCCGCGGTTCGCCGGAAGGAAGCATCGTAATAACTTCTTAGTTCGCGGGGCCTTGTACAGATTAAAAAGAAGAGGGAAGGGTCAAGGCGAGATAAAGGAAAATTAATGGCGGACCTAAATCCTTGCCGGTGAATCTCGCAGTCTGCTCCACGGCCGGAAGAAAGAAGCTCGCTGAATTACGTGCCCGTGAGCGAACCGCAACGCGAGCATCGTTAATTTGAATTATTATTGCTCGCGAATTCGAAAGCGGACCTCGCGGCAATTACTCCGTGGAATATCGCGAGACCGGATTTTAATGTAACCGAGACGGGATACGATTTTCGATGCTCGCCAAAGGGTGAAAATCAGCTATTAATCGTGGATCACTTCAACTTGGTATTTCTAAGCGAACCATGCTAAGAAAAACAGCACCCGAAGGAAAATTCAAATTTCCCATCGATATGCAATCAACCTTACCTTAAAGTTTCATCGCAATCAATGTACACCATCTTATACAGTTCTTCGTTAAATGGCGCGAATGAAACAGGTTCGCGCGAAGATCGCGATCCTTCGGGCTGATCGAACTTTCGAAACGTTTTGCATGCGTGGCCAGGCGTTAAATTAACGCGCAGACTTTTCCATTAATAACAGGACCCACGTACACGGTGACACTCGTTTCAAACGGAATAAATCGCGCAGAGTTGCGCAATGATTCGACGATTTCGCGGGGAACGTCAGGGACCGGTTCCTTCGGATTAGGGAAAGTTCTTGATCGGGATCTATGAATGAATAGATCGAAACCTTTCGAGTTCTAAATAAATAACATTTTTGTTATCTAAAGCACCGCCTGTGTTTTCATGTTCGACCATCAACTAATCACCAAAGTAAATTGTGTTATCAAGCTAATCGCAAGATAAAGATTATTTCTTTTAATCAAGGTTATTACTATAAAAGATAGCTTCAAGCGAAGATTACTACACGAATCACGTACCATGCCCTCGTCTATCGAGGTGTCTTCTTCGAAATAGCATTCGTCAGGCTCGTCCGGTGTCAGAGCTGTAGGAGTTTCCGGTGACTCCTCCTTGATGTCCTGCCTCCTGATCCAGTCCATGTCGGCAGTCCCTTTCCGAGCCTTCGGCGACAGACGGTTTAACGCGTCTCTTTCTCGATCCCTTCGCGCGGCCCTCGCAGGATCACATGTCTCGCGTTCGCTCGCGAGTAACGAGCGAGGAAAACTAGAGTCAAACACTGGTGGGAAACAACCGGGTGCTTTTCTTATCGTTTATCACGGTCCGCGGTCCGATTACGGGGATATCACTTCGGCTGCTACGATGGCGGCTGACATTTGCGAAATGTCACTGCGCTTTCCAGCCGACTGTCACGTTAACGTTAACTAACTCCGCCGGAACTCCGATACGAAGGTACACGTGAATTCAATCGTGGATAAAAAATGAATAAGGACGAAATGGAGAGAATAACTCGTTCACTGTGTCCCACTGATGAATCTATTCGAAATGCCCCAAAGAGGAGAATTACGTTTTTCACGAAAGTTGAGACGATCAAATTTGTCGCTCATGATAGATACTAGAATTTGGATGTTCCCGAACACGGTGCCCCGATTGAACGTAAAACACACTTGATTTTATTCAGTTAAGAACTAGCCTGTTTAACGCACAGCGTACCGGAGGAGATGATTGCAAGCGAGAGACGAAACGCGCGCGCAGTCTCGCATGTGCACACGAGCAGGCCCCGACGGCGGTGCAGCTGCAACTGTGTGTGCAGGCCGGGAATGCTGGAGGTGGTATGGAGGCGGCTTGGTGGGCGCACTCTGTCTCGTCTCCTTTGCCTCCCTTCTCTCTGTCTCACCACGATTATGGTTCGTATACCCTCTCCCTCTCTTTTCGAGCAGTGGTACTTTCTCTTTTACTCGTCCGTACCCGCTGTATACGCTTCTCACTCTCGCTCTTTTCACTAAATCGCCCTCCACCGTTCGTGTCACTCTCTCTCTCTTTCCCTCTCCGCGCTTTTTCTCTTCTCTTTTCCTCTTTCCTTTCTCGATCATTCCACAAGCGCACCGCGTTTTCCGTCCCTTTCTGGTGATTCGTCAGTCCCTACCTATCTTTCTCTCCTTTGGACGCGTTCTCTTTTCTCCCTTTAATTTCTTCCCCGTCCTTCTCCATCGTTGGTGCTTTCAATATTCCCTTCCGCCTCTACCGTACAGCTCTAACTTTCTCTTTGTCCCTCGCGCAGCCCTTACCCTGTCCTCTTCCTTCCCTTTCTTGCCCTCCACTTTTCCCTCCCTTTTTTCCTTCGTTTCTGTTTCTTTGCCAACTCGCCCCCTCCTCTTGCACTCTTTCTCACTCTCTCTCCCTTCCACCCACGTCTACTCCAATCATCCACGCTGTCCTCTTTACATTTCGTGCAGCAGCCTCCCTCTAGCTCCATTCTATTTTACTCGTCTCCCTTCGACTTTCCTCTTTCTTTCCCGCTTCTGCTTGACCTGTCTTCTCCGTCCATCTTCGTAACGTCTCGTCTAGTTTCTTTCAGAAGCAACCAGGAAAATGGCAACCGCCTACCGTGGTCGGTCCGAAACTGATAAAGAGGGAAAAGCGAAGGAAGAGAACGAAAAGAAGACGCGTACGTAACGAGGGTGGCCAGAAATGCTTTTCTCTCTTCTTTCTTAACGCGTACCCACTCTGCTCTTTCAGGAACAGCATCCCTGTTCCGTTTCTCTTCTTCTCTCCCTTGCCCTTTATCCTCCCCCACCAAACGCTGTCCGTCTCTCTTCAACTACCACTTTCCTCCCTCTCCCCAGTTCCATGACCCCTACCCCTTTCGCATCGAGTCACCATGAGTTCAGGGACGATCCGTTTTCATTCGAGACCCTGCATCTAACGCCCCCGAGGGATACCAGAAATAGCGACTTCCTCCTACAGCGGCGAGATTTCATCTTTTTTTTTCTGCGTTAATACCGCGGTGAACCCGGTACAAGATTCCGTCGTCGAAACAAATTATCGATGGGTCAGAATGATAAGAAGGATAATGTAATCGAGTTGGGAAGAAAATTTTTCTATCGCATATCTGTCGAGTTTGATGTATTCGAATAAGTGGATACGAATGTTTGAAAAAGGCGACGAAACAGCGAATTGTTTATGGTAATTATTTTACTTATTTCACAAATTATAACCATTCCTAATTAATGTATTTATGACTTCGATACTTTACTTTTCATTTGCCTTATTTTCTGTTAATTGGAAATTTGTCAATTAATAATTTTGCAGCTTACGTTATAAAAGCTCTCGAATGTAATTCCACGAACGATATTCAAAGATAAATAGCAAATACGGTTGAAAATGTCTATAATATGTATAAGCATTGAATTATTGAAATTTCCACCAATTTTGTGTTAAACGATGGTTCGAGGGATCGATAATTCAGCTCGCCCTTTAAATTGATCAAATATTATGCAAGCTAGTCCTTGGTAAATCGCATGTCGTTGAATTGCAATGAACCGTGATACATCCCTGAACACGATAGTATCGAGGAATAAAGAGGGAAGAAGAAAATGGCAAGTATGCCACGATAAGAACGACAAGGAAAAGAACAGCGAATCCGATGCTAGGGCACGGATACTCGGAGCAGAAGAATATCTTAGGGAAAGATGGGCATAACTCACAGGGCAGAGAATGACCCACAGTGACGTAACTAGTAATTTGAGGGCAAAATTATAGTGCAATTTCATTTTCATGGATTCTCTAAGAATCAAAGTATTAATTAGGAGTAAACTCTTGCTCTATCATTTTTTGGGGCAGTTAGGTTATTCAGAGCTAAGTATTGCAATATTAGGACGAATAAAAATTATTAAAACCATCCCTGACTGTGCAAATTGTAATTAAAATTAAATTTGAAATTAAAATTGAAATTAAAATTCAAAGTTGCATTTGAACTGCAGGTTGCATCAGGAGTGACGTGATTATTGGTGCAACTAGGAAGGGGGTAAGGTGGGCCTTGCCTCTCCAAAAATGAGAACTAACTCTTTCGCCATTCTAAAACTCTGAGATTTTAAAATTCTAAAATTCCAAAATTTGGTGTTGCTAATAAAACTAAAGTACCTCGCCTACTGCAGAAAAAAATCCTAATTACGTCAACAGATGTGGTATTGCAAGGAAAAGGGTTAAATCCTCAGCATCCCAATTTTTTGATACAAAATAAAAAAAAATTCTTAAAAATGAATTTTTTAATTAGAAGGTGTTAAATGAAAATATCCCAACAATATATATATTTATATATTTTTTTGAAAATGCTGTTATTTATGGGATGATCTAATAGTACCAGCAGTATGGACGGCACTGGTATGAACTACGAGAGAAAGGGAGAGACAGAGGAGAGACACGTGATGCTGGAACGTGTGTTAGTCATTGGTTGCCCATGGCAACCCACGCGGTTAATGTACGCGGGTACGGGCCGCTCGTTCAGAACAACGTTACTATATACGTACGAGAGAGCGTACGTACGTAACTCCGTAGGTTGTACTACTGGTACTACTACGCGCATGCACAATGGGAGGTCAGGTTCGTGTGCGTCCACACACGTGGCCGAGTTGATTGATTTCGCCTCTGCGTTCGTTGCCACGATGTGTTGCCATTCAATTGGAGCACGCACCGAACCTCGTTACCTTCGAATGTGCGGCATTCCGTACTAACATTCTTACCGGTCAATGAAAATCTTTAGTCAACGAGGAATGTGCCAGTTAATTAACCAACGAAACAATGTAATATAGATTTTTACATGTATCAACCCCTTCAATTTTTCAAGTGCAACTTCCATTTTTTATATTAACAATAAATAATAATTATAATCATTAATGGACCCGAACCGAGGCTCAGGTATCCGTACGCCTCTGATAATAATTAACAAGGTTCGATAATTCTGCAACCATCGTAAAAAATTTCAAATTAAGATTCGATTAATTCCAATAAAATTCCTCCGCCCAAATAATTTGATAATACGAAACTTTCATAAATATCCCCGCTTAATTTCTCCCACGTTTGTTAGGATTCACCGAACGTAATCATGCCGAGTTACGAGCAATTATACCAGCTTACGCTCGATTTTCGAAGAAGAATTCGAGCTAGCCGTCGAGGAGAATGCAGTTGCATCGGTCGCTGCATCCTGGCGCAATCGTGCTGCGCGCACCAATTAAGAACGCTTCGCGCCGTAATCTGGGATACCGTGGTGCATGCAAATGCATTCTGTGTTGCACACTCTCGCCGTTCGCTGGACACGGACGATTGTTATCGGGCTTGATTATCGGTCGTTGGTAAACAGCGCTTTTCCAAGAATCGTGTCAGGAAGAGACTCCTGATAATTTACCTCCTTGCAATTGCTTCTCGAGAACGGATAACATCCCCCCTTGATTGCGTAACGTGTTTATCGATATCGTTTTATGACAAGAGAAAAGTTGAGAAACTTGTTCGGTTTTCTGTAGCGATCGGGCTGATACCGATACGTATTGATGATATTCAAATACCGAAGTACTTAATGAGATACATTGAATGCTTGCTATCAATTTTCGATAGTAAAATGATACCGTTTCATACTATTCAATCCGGTCCAGAATCAATAATATTGATTTAATATCGTTCCAATCACTAATTACGCGTCTATTAATTGTTTAATTACCCCTTATATACTACTGAATTTCTTATATTTCTCATCTACTTTACTTTTAAAATATTTATCTTACTATATATTAAAATTTATAACAAACTATTAAACGAGAATTTAAGACCGAACACGGTGGAAGCAATTAGATCGGAATCTTTTCCTTAGCATTTAAAAACTCTTCAATTAAAGTGGATAATTAAACCGTCGTACGAATTATACGCGATTACGAGAAGACATTCATGTCGACCAGGTGTAAGTCTAGACGATTCTAGATTACGTGAAAAAAATTATCTCCTTGCTGTATTGTAAATGAAGCTTGCGTATCAAATTTAACAGTTCTGAGGATCGTTGTCTGGTTGTTCGTTTTCGGACATCGTGCCTCTACACCCTGCGTAATAGAAAGGGTTAAAACCCACCAGGGACGAGTGGAATAGGTTTAGAGAGTTAGTGGTAGCGTTATTTGAACGAAGCAACCTCGAGAGGCGTGGGAGTTTACAAGAAATTCGTGGCCCGGACAAGATAGGTGCGAATGGAAACAATGTGTCGAAATTTCAAACTCTTCTCACGGATACTTCTTCTGTGTACCACTTTCTAGACGTTAATGCGCTTCCTAGGTACTTCTCGCTTTCGGTACCGTTCTACCCAAGAAGTCAATGATTTCAAGATACAATAAACATGGGAAACATTGCCATGATTAATAAAGGGCGTGAGAATTTCGATAGTATTACGATATTAAAAATTGGGTCTCTCTCCATGGTCCGCAGTTTGAAAATTAACCCTTCGCTTTGATTTCTTTGCGATAAAATGGCTCGTTGACCATTCAACACTCAGATTTTCTAATTTATAAACTTTCTAATAAAGGGTTAATGTGACAAAGCTCTCGACTGCAGAGGAAAAAAAGAAAATTTACGAAGTTTCAACGAGACACAATGTTAACAAAGCCTACAAATGAGATTCTTTGTTGTGCAACAGGATGGTGGACAACGAAAAAGCACGTCGTTAATTTTTACCACAATCGCGACTGTTCCATAGAGCGAAACAACCGTGGCCAGACTTTCGGACCTTTGAAGTTCGTCGGCTGATGCAAGAGGCAAGAGTTCATCTCGAAAGATTTACATCTCTCGCCAGCAGGAGGAGGCAAGGTATGAAGCAACGGGTACGAAGAACGAGAATAAACGCCGCACGAACTTACCGGGGCCAAAAGGGTCCCTGGGAAGCGGAGACTATCCCACGACAGGACCTTACCGTCCTTTCAGCCTTCCCTCGTGCCGTTCGCGAGAAAGACATGCCGGCTCGCGAGAGCCTCCCGCTCGGTACGCAAGAAAAAGAAAATTGCAGGAAACTAATTATGCGATGACAAGGTGCTTTATATAAAATCGATGCTCCGTTGTATTATCTGTAATTCTCGGCCGTTTTTCTTAATAATTTTGTCAGTTTTCTGTCATGAATTTTTTATTCTATCCTGTTAATTAGAAAAAACTTCATTTGACTGATATTTAATCCTTGGAGGGTGGGGAGAGCTCCAATTTTAATTCAATTTTGTATTTCATAGCGCTTTCATTTTCTAAATTCTATACTGTTCCCTTGAAAATTATTTTTCTACTATGTAAAACTTTTTCAT